CCTATTTCAGCAGAAGACACGAGGAACCCCACCACAAAGGGCGTTTATACCTGAGCTCAGTCTATTGTTGGTATCTCGAAACTCGCCTTCTTGACACGGAAGAATGTGTTAAGAAAATGACATGTTGTTTTCAGATAAAAAGATATTGCTGGATAAAACGAGCGCTAACGCATTTACCTGCAGGTCCAGGTGCGAGTATAGAGGTGCTGCATCTTCATGTCTGCGTGTGTTGGAATAACGGCATAAGATTTTTATAGACACCAGTCACGTGATAGAATTTAACACGGGAAGCAGCAGGTTTTTGTGTGTAGTGTATCGTGATCAATGGCGGATCCAGCATTTTTAAAAGGGGAGGTGTCCGGCAACCACCCGGCAACCAGTGGTAGAGCGTCCGCCCGGAGAGCGGAAGGTCCGGGGTTCGATTCCCGGCCGCGTCATACAAAAAGATGTTAAAATATGGTACTTGTTGTTACCCTGCCTGGCGCTCGGTATTCGGGGTCAGTATACTGTGTCTGAGTGGGGTATTCATGTTAAAGTGCCGTATTACATCGCCATTAGTCAAGTCAGGTCAATTCAAGTGTATTTATAGGCCTCAGGCAAAATACAGATGGTAACACAGTATACGTCCACGCGCACTATGCGCGGCTCAACAATTCAGAAACAAGACTGGAGACTTGCTCCCCTACCAATCCCGACCCACCCACCCCACAAGTTGCCTAAGTTTATATATACTTACAAATATTTTCATATTTTGATCATAATAAATTCTTTCTTTCAGTCATAATAGGGTACACACACTTTGTCAATCTAAAAATGACATTTCTGCGACAGTCTTGCATCAACTGGACAAATTTGAAAACACGAGGGTGTACATATGGGTAAATACGGCAAATACAGCCGTCTAAACTCAATATATTTTGGACACATTATTAAAACATTGTATTCGTCCTCATTATAAGTTTCACAAAATGAACATAGACGCTGTTCTTGTTGTAGTTTGGGTTTAACCCATATCCCCTTTTCAATCATTGAACATATGTGAACTGAGCCTAAGACCTGTTCAAGCTTCTCGGTATATATTATTAACATCAATACTATTAAGATACATCACAAAACATAAGGATGCCTTCATCGATAGGTACAGACTTGTTTCGCTAAGACTTGATAATCGTTTTTTCCACATCTGTATATATATATACACCATGAATTCGCTGCTTATACTCAGACAAAAATCCAGTTTCATTAACAATAACTTGACCCAGCCAAACATATCCGAAATCAAATTGGTATAATATATTTCTAACCAGAACGGCCAAACTTTCTACATTAGGATGACTCAACATCCCTTCTAAAAGAGCTTTGTACACAATACTAATATATATATTTAGATCACACTTTAAGATTTTCATCCAATATTTAACAATTCTAACAAACCGCCCACTTATCAATGGCAGTACCCCGAATTCACCATAAACATATGCTGATGGTGTAGATAATTTCACACTTTTTATCTTTTTTTAATAAATCTAAGATGTACTCTTCCAATTGCATTAGCCTCCCTAAAACCCCACATCTCACATCCATAACACAACAGCAGCCCTTTTGTTCCTCTGCAATTTGATCAGTAATAGGTTGTAAAATCACTTTAACTTTTATTTGCCTTCTGTTCATATTATATTTGATTAATGAATGGCGAAGCTTCAGTGTCACGGAGTTAGCTTCACAAGGAAAGGCTAGAAACAGTTACAAATTCAACAATTTCGGATTATATTCACCAGTAGGCCCCTTTGGTTCTAATTTGTTTTGTAGTGTATTTTGCAGAATGTTGGGTTTCCTTAAGGTTCCTGTGAAGCTGATAGTTCATATTTTCAATCTTCTCCTTATAGAATATTATTCATACTGTTATGAACATGAACAGAGTTTAACTGAACTTCAAGAGTTATCATTTAAGGTAATAGTGTTTTATGGAGACACTTTGATTTCAATGCTATTTTGAGTCTGTAATAAAACCAACTGAGGAGATCACTTATCCTGTCAGGTATTTTTAAATATAGGTTATACCTCTTTCCAGTTTGCTGTTATTGATGTAGATAGCCTTCCGGTGCAAAAGACACGGTGTACTTAAATCTTAGTGCTTCACTACATACATCATTGCCATTTCTCACATGTATGCCAAACAAAATGGGAATCATTATGGGGGACACGCTCTTAGAACCTAAAATACATTGAATTACAAAACATTAGTTTCTTATTGAAATTAGAACACCTATCTGTCAGTTAAACAGATTGACCAGGAACCACGTTGGCCAAAGGTTTGCCACCTAAACTTACTGGATAGCTGGGATCAAATACAGGATTTCCAACGTCTACTGTACTTTGGACACTGTATACCCCGGCTTGCACTATTTTTTCATTTTCTCTTGATGATTCTAGAAGAGGTTCGTGCTAAATATCTTACAAGATTGCAGAACATTTAAAGCTGTTTGGCAGTTATTGCCACGTTACATGGTTTGTATTTTTTGCAAGGTAATATGTTGAGTTTGCATTGTGCAGAACTACTTCCATAGTGGGGAGTTGTTCAAATGATTGACGCCGACATGTGGCTGGAATATTGCTGGGTTGGGCGTTAAACTTTCATGTTCTTGATACTTTGCAGCAGTTGACATTATGGTTGAAGTTTAGGCTTACTACTGAGTTATCAACCTCCCTAATGCAGAAATATTTCCTTAATGAGAATTGATCAATTGATTGGCTGTTACTTTCATGTTCTTGATACTTTGCAGCAGTTGACATTATGTGTTATATTTTTGACATGTTTTGCATACTCAATGATTTATCAAATTCCATTGTGCAGAATCACAGTCTTCTATAATTATAGTTTTTAACTTTATTGGCAGTTACTATAATCTTTGGATACTTTGAGTTTCAATTATATTTAATAAACAAATATTCACATCTCTCAGCATCGCTGGGGGTATTCAATGACATATTGCCCGTAGAGATGATAGATAAGTGGGAGGAGCTTATGCACACTCGATGACCCCTGACGTCACACGGCATTGTTTCGCTGGTGTGACTGGCAACAAAATACACTCTCCTACCCAGAGTTCCATGCGGCCGGCAGCCAGCCAGCAAAGTACCTCTGCCACAGTCCAGCGCCATGTGACGATTCATCACATCTTTCACAGTCCATTCAAGATATAGCATATGCTTTTCATCCGTTTCATGTTTGACAAATCTGCACATTTTCATAAATAAATGTCAAAGAATGGTTACGGTTCATTAAGAAAGTATCCCTTACGTGAAAATCTACTTGTTTTTGCGTAGTTATCCTTTGTTTACATTGGTTGACCGGCTCCTTGTGCCGTCACCGAAGCCCAACGGAGAGATAGCGATACGGTCACTTTGATGTATAAATATATATTGTCATGCAACTCACTGTTGCAGTTGTAGTAGCATATCTATTTAATTATGCAAAACAATATGTAAAGCGCCCTCAAATACTTGCATTAGTCCGTTCTATACTGATTTCTGAAAAAGAGCGTTTGTTTACAAACAAGAGAAAAGTCCGGTCACGTGATATGCAAATTAGCCTGTGGCAGTGGAGTTATGCTGATCGAGTCACCACTGCGCCGGAGTGTGAACAAAATACTACAAATTACGCCATAGAGTGTTGCCACGTGTTTGAAAAGTTTGTGGTCCCAAAGGTAGACCGACCTTTCAAATTCACTGATGCAGAATCACAATGGAAATCGTTCATCGGTTGACTCAGATTTGAAGCGATGCAAATTGCTTGACAATAATTGTCATTCTTTTATAAGATATTGTACTTACCAGTTTTATCTAGAGTGAATCTTTTCCAAGATTGAGAAATTCTCATTGTAAAACAACTGGGTTGATGTTAACCGTTTAAAGTGCCTTATCATATTGAAGTTTTAAATCTATGCAGTTTTGCTTTACTGTATTGTACATGTTGCTTTTGCAAAATCACAATATCTACTTAATATACTGTAAATCTTGAAATTAACGCGAGCGTAAATTAAATGCGAGTCGCATTGATTTTGAGTCGTACTTTTGGCTAGGGGTCAGCAGTCGTATTAATTTGGAGACGCATTAATTTCCAGATTTACAGTATCAATTAAACAGATGGTGAATTTGTTTAGCAGTTAGCCTGCAACCTCGGGTATCGAACGCGGTACTTGACATGTACAATAAATCACAGATGCCGCGATACCATGAATGCAGCGGTACTACGGGGTCCCAGTATAGACTCAATTTTAGGACGAAAAGGGCCCATCGCGGTGTTAAAGGCCATTTCGATTCTTAGCTAGTCTTCTTTTGAATGCATACAACTTTTTAGTTAAGAATACTGTCTCTACTAAAACAATTATTTTTACACTCTGTAATGTCAACTCTATGTACCTGTGAACTTTGAAAACCATGGCTTTATGCACTGCGGTGTTCAAAATACATTTTTGGCCTTTTTTCAGAACTTACAAAATCGCCACAAGTTAGGCCCCTTTTGGTTCTGAGAGACACAAAGATATAAATTCCAGATTCTTGTTAAGGCCTCTTGCAACACTGGTAACGTTGTTCGCCGGTTCTGTGCGTTGTAAACTTGCGCAACGTGATATCACGAACGTATATATACGTCTTTGGTGATATCAAGAGACGGGGTACATCTTTACTGCATAGCGGCAGCGATGATACCGGGGAGGTGCGGGGTGCTGGGAAGGAGCCGGGAAGGAGCTTGCCAACGCATCAAGTTCCTTACAGCGATAGCCCGTTCGCGGAGGTCTCTAATACTATAATGAGAGTCTAACGAAGGTGTTACGCGCTGGGAAGGAGCTTGAAAGAAAGGGGGGTAACTCTGGTTTCATGACGTCACAAGCAGACAACATGGCGACGTATGATTGTTGAAGAGGAAAGTGAAAACTGTTTTGAGAAATGGATCTTGGATATTGCCTGTCTGTAATTTTTTTTAGGATAAAAAGGTTAATTTAGTGTATCACCATACATAATATGAGATTTTAAAAGTTTTAACGTGGTTTTATAACGTCTGTGCTATTCTGAACTAGATTATTTTTGTAGGGCAGGTTTGAAGTTGAACATCTATGCGCACGTGCAAGTTTGATTTATATCAGAATCATATAAAAATATAAACGTATCAGTTTTTATATTTTGTCTGTCCTTGCGCCGTATGATCATGCATGTTTTACAGTTTAAGAAACAACATCCCATCTCAGTGTCACGTTGCAAAGTAACTTTAGCAGGTTAGTAGTAGATCTAGGCCAGGATTATTGAATGAAGACGTACCATTTGAATAGTACAAATATATATAATTTGGGCCCCAATACATATTATAATATGTATCACAGTACAGCTCTTTGTATAGCGATATAATTGATGTCTGATGCCTGGAGTCACTTTCAGTTCACATCATATTGGCTCCTTCCCCAGTCGGTTTTTTTGCCAATTAAGGAATGGGACAAGTGCGCCAAATGGCATCGGTATCACTCATAAGTGTCCCTAGACCAGACAGAAGACACAACACCTACCTGTAACCTTCATGAAGGTCTGTGACCTATTTTACCCTTTCGGTTCTTTTCCGTAATGTCTTAGGCATGACTAGATAAATATACACTTACTTTAACAGCGTGGATGTAGCTCAGCTGGTTAGCTGTATAGCTAACAAGCCAAAGGTCGCAAGGTAACTACCAACAGATTCTCACAAACTTGTGGCGCTGTATTCAAAAGGTGCTCCTTTTTTCTGTCTGTAGCTGTCTTGCAAGGTGATAATGGTCAAGTTTCATGCTACATCTTCTGTGTTCAAATACTCCTGGGACCAAGTTGCATGTGCCTTCTGGCAGAGGTACCCCAATCCTTTCAGGTATGTCAACAATTTATGTCAACATTGATATTTGTTGTTCTTTGTTGTGCAAATTAAGGGTTGTCCTAACTACACCCAAAGAGTCCATTGTTGAAAAGGCCTGGATTCACTGCTATTTCAATCAAACTGTCCAGTTCCATTTTAGCTATTACCATGCTAAGGTAGCTGCATGTGTCATGTTTTACGTTAAAGAAAATGGTTTTGTAAGAACTGTTTTCTTCAGAAATAAATGCTTGACTTTTAAATTGGAGAGTTTTATGAAGCTTATGATGTAGTTGTGTGTATGTTGTTGTTGCAGCAGCAAGCATGTCCTGACAGGAGATGTAGTTGTGTGTATGATGTTGCAGCAAGTATGTCCTGACAGGAGATGTAGTTGTGTGTATGTTGTTGTTGCAGCAAGCATGTCCTGACAGGAGATGTAGTTGTGTGTATGTTGTTGCAGCAAGCATGTCCTGACAGGAGATGTAGTTGTGTGTATGTTGTTGTTGCAGCAAGCATGTCCTGACAGGAGATGTAGTTGTGTGTATGTTGTGGTTTTAGCAAGCATGTCCTGACAGGAGATGTAGTTGTGTGTATGTTGTTGTTCCAGCAAGCATGTCCTGACAGGAGATGTAGTTGTGTGTATGTTGTTGCAGCAAGCATGTCCTGACAGGAGATGTAGTGTTGTGTACGTTGTTGTTGCAGCAAGCATGTCCTGACAGGAGATGTAGTTGTGTGTATGTTGTTGCAGCAAGCATGTCCTGACAGGAGATGTAGTTGTGTGTATGTTGTTGCAGCAAGCATGTCCTGACAGGAGATGTAGTTGTGTGTATGTTGTTGTTGTAGCAAGCATGTCCTGACAGGAGATGTAGTTGTGTGTATGTTGTTGCAGCAAGCATGTCCTGACAGGAGATGTAGTTGTGTGTATGTTGTTGTTGCAGCAAGCATGTCCTGACAGGAGATGTAGTTGTGTGTATGTTGTTGCAGCAAGCATGTCCTGACAGGAGATGTAGTTGTGTGTATGTTGTTGTTGCAGCAAGCATGTCCTGACAGGAGATGTAGTTGTGTGTATGTTGTGGTTTTAGCAAGCATGTCCTGACAGGAGATGTAGTTGTGTGTATGTTGTTGTTGCAGCAAGCATGTCCTGACAGGAGATGTAGTTGTGTGTTTGTTGTTATTGTAGCAAGCATGTCCTGACAGGAGATGTAGTTGTGCGTATGTTGTTGCAGCAAGCATGTCCTGACAGATGTAGTTGTGTGTATGTTGTTGTTGCAGCAAGCATGTCCTGACAGGAGATGTAGTTGTGTGTATGTTGTTGCCGTAGCAAGCATGTCCTGACAGGAGATGTAGTTGTGTGTATGTTGTTGCTGTAGCAAGCATGTCCTGACAGGAGATGTAGTTGTGTGTATGTTGTTGTTGTAGCAAGCATGTCCTGACAGGAGATGTAGTTGTGTGTATGTTGTTGTAGCAAGCATGTCCTGACAGGAGATGTAGTTGTGTGTATGTTGTTGTTGCAGCAAGCATGTCCTGACAGGAGATGTAGTTGTGTGTATGTTGTTGTTGTAGCAAGCATGTCCTGACAGGAGATGTAGTTGTGTGTATGTTGTTGTTGTAGCAAGCATGTCCTGACAGGAGATGTAGTTGTGTGTATGTTGTTGTTGTAGCAAGCATGTCCTGACAGGAGATGTAGTTGTGTGTATGTTGTTGCAGCAAGCATGTCCTGACAGGAGATGTAGTTGTGTGTATGTTGTTGCAGCAAGCATGTCCTGACCGGAGATGTAGGTGTGTGTATGTTGTTGCAGCAAGCATGTCCTGACAGGAGATGTAGTTGTGTATGTTGTTGTTGTAGCAAGCATGTCCTGACAGGAGATGTAGTTGTGTGTATGTTGTTGCAGCAAGCATGTCCTGACAGGAGATGTAGTTGTGTGTATGTTGTTGTAGCAAGCATGTCCTGACAGGAGATGTAGTTGTGTGTATGTTGTTGTTGCAGCAAGCATGTCCTGACAGGAGATGTAGTTGTGTGTATGTTGTTGCTGTAGCAAGCATGTCCTGACCGGAGATGTAGTTGTGTGTATGTTGTTGTTGCAGCAAGCATGTCCTGACAGGAGATGTAGTTGTGTGTATGTTGTTGTTGCAGCAAGCATGTCCTGACAGGAGATGTAGTTGTGTGTATGTTGTTGCAGCAAGCATGTCCTGACAGGAGATGTAGTGTTGTGTATGTTGTTGTTGCAGCAAGCATGTCCAGACAGGAGATGTAGTTGTGTGTATGTTGTTGCAGCAAGCATGTCCTGACAGGAGATGTAGTTGTGTGTATGTTGTTGTTGTAGCAAGCATGTCCTGACAGAGGATGTTGTTAACCGAGAGATGCGCCAGGATGGGCTTCATACTACACGACTGCTGACCAAGACTAACCCAGTGCCTAAATGGGGGGAGAGGTTTGTTCCTGGACCACGCCAAGTCTGCATTGTAGAGGAATCCATTGTTGACCCTGAAAAGAAGATTATTACCACTTATTCTCGGAACATCGGAATGCAGAAACTCATGGTTTGTATATTATTTCTATCTGCTTGGGGTTCAACAAACACGCATGCAAGTCCCCTAGACTAAAAAAAGAGCTAATCAGTGTTACTCAGGTCCTGTCATATTTAATCTGAGGTATTCAAACTTGCACAATATGAAAGGCCGGCTTCCTTATCACCTGTAGGCCATGTATTATGCTTAAGAATATGAAAGAAACATCTGTCGGAACAATTGTGATATACAGATGTGAAAAAAGTGAACATGTTTTTGACTTGTATTGTCAATCATCATAAGTCTTCTGGGGAACAAGTGACTGTTGCTCTACGTTTGAACTCTGTTACTCAACATGCTTAACCTAGACCTTGTCCGCTTTGCTCAAGTGGTCAGTGACAAGTAGGAAAATCTTGTAATATGTTATTACATCCCATAACAATATATATATTATGTGTTCTTTTAATCAAGCACATGTAACTCCAGTGACTAATGAGTTCGGTCGGTCAGACTCGCTGACTTGGTTGATGCATGTCATTGATCCCAATTGCATGGATTGATGCTCATGATATTAATCACTGGATTGTCTGGTCCAGACTCGATTATTTACAGACCACCGTCATATAGCTGGAATATTGCTGAGTGCGGCATTAAACAACAAACCAACCAACCATCATTTAACTCCAGGGTTATTTCAGAATGGTCCCCAGGCCCATGATAATGTAGTCTTAGTAACAATGTAATCTCCACTTTTTACAATGCAAATGAACTACTGGTACCTCTGTGGTCTAGTGGAAGAGTGTCTGGCCAGAGAACGGATGGTTTGGATTTTGATCCCCGGCCATGTCATACCAAAAGACGTTAAAAGATGGTACATGTTACCCTGCCTGGCGCTCAGCTTTAAGGGACTAAAACAATGAGCTCGGAGTCTGTGTCTGAGTGGGGTATTCATGTTAAACTGCGGCATGGTATCTCAGTGAGCTAGCACTATATATTCAGCATTAGTTTTGACTCATACCAGCACCCACACACAAGCACACTTGGCATGCACATCGCTATATAAGTCCAATAATCTTGAACGCGACGTTAAACCCCATTTCACCCCTCACCTCACAATGCAAATGTTGGTAGTTGTTCAGGTACTTAATAGAGTCCTCAATAAAACAACTGATGGCAATCTGAGTTCACTTCATTAGACTATATTAAGCCTGGAACCCCATCTTGTGACAGTTTGATTGAAAATGAGAAAAAAGTACAATTTTTTAATTTATCTTGCATTACTCCTTAATGCAATCACTGCTTACCTTAAATACGACAAAAGAAGGGCAGCGCAACAGCGATGGTCCGGGGTGAAGAAATAAATTTGTTGCTCTGAAGTCCCACTTTTACTGACCACCGCCGCTGTCCTGTGACCTTGATGATACCTAAAGTTACCTTCTTCACATCACTGCTTGTCGCGGTTACAGCAAGGACGTGTCCCAGCCGAGCTACCGGTTTGGATTGATTTAGACCTTCAGTTTTCTTCTACAGTTCTAAAATTGATCTGCAATGGGTGATGTATTCTGTTCATATTATTTTCATGATGTTGTGTAGTTTCATGTGAATTAGTTAGCCATATAAATACTACTAGCTTTGGCGTTACAGTGAGTTGCGTATATATGAATTGTTGTATACACTTTCAACTCATTAAAAATATTTTTGCCGATAGATTATTATCAATTCTACGTCCTTCTTCCAGTCCTGCTTCATCAAAAATTCTTTATTTGCATAACTAATGCTTGCACGTTGTACTCATTGTCGTGGAAAAAAATCTTAAAGATTCTCATCCACGTTGGTTGGCTTGCACGCAGATGTGCTCAGTTACATTGAGTTGCGTATATAAAAATATTGTATACACTTTCAAGTCGTATTTTCGCCGATAGATTATTGTTCAATTCTACTGCATTCTTCCAGTACTGTTGCATTAACAATTCTTTATTTGCGTAACTTATGCTTGCGTGTTGTACTTATTGTCATTGAAAAAAATCGTTCAAAGATCCTTATCCATGTTGTTCGGCATGCACGCAGATGTACTCGCCAAACTCTAAATATAATTTTTGTGTAAATCTCTCTCCATCGAGTTTTACAATATATAGGTAGGATACTCACAAACATTTTTTGCAGCAATCCTGTTGTGAGACGAGAAGAATAGCTGAATAGCGAAGGACATGGTTCAGGCATTACCACGCAGACATTATCATCGGCGGGTAATATGACGCCCGTAACTGTGACTGCAGAAGTGTACCCTCCGCCGAAATAAACAATACCGGAGGATTTTGTGAGTATCGTAACTGCTCCTAGTTTTCAGCTGCCTGAGACATTCAGATCTGCAATGATCCAGTCCATACCAATGAGCATTGTGTCTCAGATACCTGCGCTGAGTGCATCGCCTGACTACTACCCAAGTGCCTCTACAATGACATCTGTGTACCATGTTACGCAGGCAACATATCCAGTGCAGCAGATGCACGCTCAGGCGTTAACAACGTTCCAGAACGCTAATTGGACAATGGTCCAAGCGTCTCTACAGTGATCCAGTCATCACCGATGAGCATTGTGTCTCATAGACCTGTGCCGAGCGCAGCGTCTGCCTACCACTCAAAGGCCTGTACAATGACATCAGCCCAAGGGCTTACAGTGTAACCGGTTACGCAACGGACACATGATCAGCTTAGCGCTGTTCCAACAACTATCCAGCACAACCGATGTACGCTTAAGTGTCAGCACCGTTCTAGAACACTAATTGGATACAAAATTTATGCAGTCCAGAAGGAAGCAGTTTATGGCACACCTGTAACCAGACGCCTGTGCCAGCTACAACTTTGGCAGAAGTGTTAGCGCCTACACCAGCGCCTAATGTATACCAAATGCCTAATGTGCTTTCAGGTAAGCATACATCGCTGGGCAGCGCTAGTACACCAGCGCGTATGGGGACATCAGCACATGACTCCTTATCCAGGCGGGTCAGCAAAGCCTTCTCATTGAGGAGGCACTATGCACCGGAGCAGAAGATGATTGCCGTCTAAGCGAGTGCATCAACATTGTTCTGACTCGTTGGACTGTTCAAATGGCGAGGATGGTGATTCCTCTGTGGAATGGAATAGGCATCTCAACCTAGCGCAAGTACCCGATTGGGTAGCAGACCGTCTTGTGTCAGAGGCGCTCGAACCAAGTGTTTAGATTAGATCATTTCCAAACCATGGTGATTTTCCTACACCTTCAGATTGACAACATGAGAATTCATCTTAAGGCCTCTAAGGCAGAGATTACCGTCACACTCAGACTTGTTTATTTAGTGCTTTCCAACTGGGACTCTTGAGTTCAAGCGCAGGCTGCTAGGTCGACCTTGGTCATCTACTTCCCTGTTCAATGAACAGATTGCAGACACGCACGGCAAAGTCTATGATCTATCCACAGCTCCTCCGACTTGAAAATCCAACATAGAACATACTGCTGGTGAAAAGAGCTGTACAGATGACTCACACCTCAGACCTAACACCAGGGTTTTATCCTCACATCTGCCTGGTACCTATGAAGGACTCAGACAAGATGAGTATGATCTACAATCTCTCCGTGATCAACGATCGTTATTTGAAGCGCCCACCTTATTGCCGCCTCACCACATTAAGAGTGCTCAGAACCAGCATCAATGCATTCGATCCTTGATCACTCAGTCTCGACTATCCATCCCTCCGACCGCAGACTCCTCAGGTTCAAGTTCAGCGGGGTTCACTACCAATGTGTAGTTTTCCCATTTTGCATTTCAGTGGAATAATGAAGCCAATAACTGGATATCTACACCTGAGGAACACTTGGTTCGAGTTGTACATAGAGGACTGTCTCCTATGTAATCAACACACGCCAACGTTAGTACGCCACCGGGAATTCACCAGACGGCTACTATATCAACTGGGATGGATAATCCACGAGGCGAAGTCTGAGTTAACTCCATCCTATCGGCTATACAGTTCATAGGAGGCCTGTTCCAGACAGACCAGGATCTCCTATCAGTACTGAGGGACAGATGCCACAAGATTCTTCGCCTCTTGTCACCTGCGCTACACCAACAATGCATGCTTCGTCAATGCCAAGTGTTGCTAGGGTTACTCACCTCGGGACAGGACTTAAACAGCTTTGGCCGCTTACAACTGCGCCCAATTCAACAATTCCAGAACCCTTACATCAGGCGTCAGGATCCACTCAAGGCCATCACTCTACCAGCTCAACTGAGACCTTACCTCAAATGGTGGATGGTAGAGTTGAATGTCTCTTTATCCGGGATATCCACGAGTCTACACCCCTTCGTAGACGCCTCCTTCAGAGGTGGGGTGCTCACCTGCAAGGCGCGACAGCCTCAGAGCTATGGTCCGGCGCTCATTGAAAGTGGCACATAAACAACTTGGCGTTAATTCTGGTCATATCCCATTGGCAGAATCAGCTACAGTCTGCCCAACCAGCAATATCCACAGACAACAGCACTGGGGTGTGGTGCCTGCGGAATCAGGGAACAGTGCACTCCCACTCCCTGCTTCAACAGACATTCAGGTGTTTCCATCTGGTGGATCATCAGGAACTACAGTTCATAGTTTAGCACATCCCCGGATGTCGGAACTTACTGGCCGATGCCTTATTGTGTCCAGACAGGGTGGCCTGCACAGAGTGAAACTTCACACAGAAGCATTCCAGTTACTGCTTCAGAAGTTCAGGCAACCAAACATCGACTAGTTTGCTGCTTGCCTAAACCACCAACTCATGACGTATTTCTCCCTGTTACTGGATCCGTAGGCTTGGGCGGTGGATGCATTCAGTATCCCTTGGGAAGGGCTACAAGCGTATGTTTTTCCGCTACCAGTTTTACTTCCCAAGGTGATACAAGGTATCAAGGAGACAAGGAATCTTGCTCTCCTGGTGGCTGGCAAGAGGGTGGTTCATCCAGCTCAGAAAAATCTAGCAGAAGATGATCCACTACCCTCCCACAGTGGTCCAGCCTACTCATCCACCCTCACAGCTAATTGCCTCACCCAACGCCAGACAGGTTACGTCTGTACGCTTGGTTCATCTTTAAAAGGCGTTAATTAGGAAGGGCTATTCGGCGGGGGCAGCAAAAGCTATAGCTTTACATCATCATCGCTCTACCAGAGGACTACACAATAACAAGGGGAGATCATTTGAGACTTTTTGTAAGGCAAAAGAATCAAGACCCTGCGATTGCATCACAACAATTCCTTGTGGAATACCTCCTTCATTTGCGTACCCAAAGACACTTGACTTGCCTCCCAACTTTGGCTTCAGAAACCTCAAAAGTATGTTTTTCTAAGAGCTTGGGCGACAGGCAGTGATGTGAAGATGGTGACCTTAGGTGTCATCAAGGTCACAGGACAGTGGCGGTGGTCAGTAATAGTGGGACTTCAGAACAACAATTTTATTTCTTGACAGTAAGGTAAGCAGTGAATGCATTAAGGAGTAATGCAGTATAAGTATACAAATGTGTAAAGTATTTAGATTTCACTAAATTTATGATTTCTCATTTATCCTGAAAGTGGGTAACATTTAGCTGGTTCTCTTAATGGCAAGGAATAAAACTTTTAACAAGTTTCAACTGCTTTAGATTGTCGGCCCGTCAAGATAATCTGGTAATGATTTTAAGCATGTTATTTTATTGCAGAGCATTGAGGAGAAATGTGTGTACAAGGTGAACCCTGACAATGGCATGCAGACATTGTGTGAGCGGTCTGCCTGGATCACGTCCTCAGTCTTTGGTTTGGGCTATGCTATACAGAAGTTTGGGGTGGAACGATTCAAGAAAAACATCACCAAGAGCTGTAAGGGCTATGATTATATACTAGACAAACTGTTCAGTGTAGAGGCACAGACTGCTGTACAAGACCACACACTGTCCAGCAAGGACAAGATTAAGGACACTGCCAGGAAGGCTGCGGAAGTAGCAGCAGCAAAGGCTCGGCCTATTCTGTCCAATCCCAGACCCATTTCATGAAGTTGGCAGGAGCATCATCCACCACTGACCTTGCATAGAGTAGATCCTTCACACAGGTGTGAGTGGGATTGGTTGGAGTTGCAGTGAAGGAACGTTGAAGGCGTGCCTGAAAAGTTTCGGATACATATTCAAATTTTGTGCATGATTTTTGTTGTGCCAGTTTCTGTGGGAACGATGATAAGCTGGGGACAAGTGATGTAATCTGAAGACCATTTGAACTGATGCACATCTTCTACCATGATTTACCTCAGCCTGTGTTTGTATTCAATATTCTTATTGCATCTTACGCCTTTAGTTTCTGTTGGAAACTAAATGTGATGACTTTTTTGTCACATATTAAAGGTATAGTTAGGATCCTCTAATCAATGAAACAATGTGTAATCTATTCCCTTAATTAAATTTCCATGAACAGCATTTAAGTCAGGTATGGTAATTTTATCCACATATACTAAAAATGTGACATTTTGTTTGAAACATGGTGTGATGGCATTGTTACAAGTAGGGAAAGAGAAGAACCTATTTTGTTTGATATGATACACGTGTTGTGACATAAAACCCACCTACCCCAGGGATTCATGAGGATCACAAGATCAGTGTATGACTTTACCTCCGACAACAGTCAACACTGTTGATAAGTTGCATTATCCAATGAAGCTTACATTCCTACAAACACACCATCAATGACAAAATCAGGGTTAATGTTGTTTTGGGCTCCACATGATTTCTTTAGCCCTTGATTATTTACTCACGTTTTATTCAATTTGGGGATGGATAGTTTTCTGTGGCTATTCAAGATACTTTTACTCCCTTGGGTCCAGTCTATTGGATAGTTTTCTGTGGATATTCAAGATACTTTTACTCCCTTGGGTCCAGTCTATTGGATAGTTTTCTGTGGCTATTCAAGATACTTTTACTCCCTTGGGTCCAGTCTATTGGATAGTTTTCTGTGGCTATTCAAAATACTTTTACTCCCTTGAGTCCAGTCTGTTGGATAGTTTTAAACCAATGAGTCAACCTTCTTAGAACATAATTCTAATTAAAATGCTTTTTCACGTGACTTATTGTTTGCTTCTGTCCATGGGATGGCCTAAGTGTGTCGCATATTGCATAAGTTCATCACAACAGTGATACTTGTCTAAGTTACAATGAGTGACATGTAGCACTTGTTTTTGCTTTGTTCTCTGCAGTATAGAGTTATACTTTTGTGGTTTTAAAAACAAAATCATGCATATCTTAAGCAACTCAAATTGATTTGTTTATGGTGTGTTATTGTGTGGTTTTTAGTGCAAATACATAACTTATCTGGAGCTCTGAGACATTGTAGATACACCATGACAGTCGTGTTATTTAGTGTTGCCACATAAACGCTGAATGTTTTAATTAACTTATTGTTCTGCCCTCTACACCTCTTTTCAATTGCTGGCTGTTGCATGTTTAGAGTCAGGAGCCACAGACAGGTGACACTCATTAGACTGCAGGACTTTCACCACAGTCTTGTTGATCAGATTGGATAAAACTGTACACCAAATATCCCAAGGTTTAGGTGACAGTATGAAAACAAGTATGAGTAATGTCATTTTCAAGAGAACTGAATCATATCATTCACTCAGACTTCAATATGTCCACTTATATGTAATAACATTGTGTATATAGCCAAGGATTTGAAGGTGTTTCCTCTTGTGTTATGTCAGCAACACTTCCAAGAAATACATGTATACAACACAGTACTACATAAAACACTTCTTGGAATCTTTGTTCAAAAGCGTAACTTTCAGTGTATGCCTTTTGTTATTCCAGGATTTGGTGCTCTTGAATTGTATGATGTAGTTGTATGATATTGTTAGTGTTAAGATTTATGACTGATATATGTCATTTACACGATTTCTGTACGATTTCATTGGCAGGATGAGATGAGGAGATGTCACTACCCCTGCCTAGATGGCGGTGTCACATTGGCTTTCAAGCCTACCCCATCTGCAGCTGTGTAATCAACATGTCCACATCAGTACATTGTATGTCAATGACATGAATATCAGAACACTCCTTGGAATGTATAGTTTACAATTTACATACATTTAACTATGTTGCTATATACACTTTACTGTGTAGAGTATGTGTATCTACTACACAATGTAATAGAATGTATATATATGATCAGAAATAATGAGGCAGTCAGGTGAAAGTGTTGTTAATTATATCCAGGTAACCAAGATTCTCCTTGTAAAACACAGTGTTTCTTTACTTCTAATCTCTTACACATCCCATACAGTTTTCCTCATGACTACTTTCTTATAGAAACAATACACCCTTCATTCGATTCCATTACTTATTTTTGGTAAAGAATTATGAAAGAATGTAAATTAGATTATGTATGTAGACATTTATATGATGAATAAATGTGAAGACAAGTTATCGGTATTTTTGTTATTTCACTGCTGTGGGAGAGCCAAGGAAGGGAGATAAACTCTTCAGACTTTATGTCCACCTCTAGTCCACATTCTAGTACTGTTACTTGTATCCTATTATAATTCTAAGTAGATCTATGCTTGATTTTGATAGTTGATAAAGTAAAATTTGCCTAGTGCCTAGTGCCAGGTTAACTAGGGTCTTCCTAACATGCACTGGACACTCCAAGGTGATGACTAAAGCTTGATAAACTGTGAATTCAAATTATTTGTACAAATGGAAAAGATCATTTGACGATTAAGGACTGTCAGCTGTGCCATCCAATCATCAGTATTACAGCCTTTATTGGAACAAAGTCGGTCTTCGTTCCCCAGTATTGGTTTAGTTTAAACATATGTTATTCACTAATGGAAAAGGAACAAGTTATCCAACATAGGACACCCTCTCCTTGGTATCTACATACACTATATACGTATGTACAAAAGATGATGTAGGATGACAAGTACAACGAGGGATGATGAGAATAGGAAGAACAAATATAGAAGAAAAGAGAGAAATAAGACAAAGTGTTTATCTGACTGATGTAAGATTGCACTGTCTTAAATACATATATTATGACTTGTTCTGCACTTCCCCTTAATAAAAGTTTCACATTGGTTGGTACACTTGTGTTTCTTGTAAGTATGCGTCTTAATGTTAATATAAGTTGTCCTCTTTGACTAGTATATAATGGACATTTTAACAAATAATGGAAAGAGTTTTCTAAGAAGTTGCAGCAGGTGCAGTTTGGGTCAGTTTTTATGCCTGTTTTATATAAATCAAAATTAAGTGAACTTGTGGAATAATGTAACTTAGTGTGAAAAAGTCTTTACCAAATATAGGATGGCGCAAATGAATGTTGTTTTGAGATACAAGATTTGAATGATTTAACACTAGCACAATCACAAACATACTGATAACGGTAAAGCGTTATACTTTTAATTAGCTGATTTACACATCAGCCTACCCAACACATTACAAAACTATACATAATAATGCAATTTTGAGGCCAGTAGGTGTATCCCATTGACTTCTAAAAGTAATTTCAGTAATGAAATACCTTCAAAATAAGCTATGTCAGAAGGGAAGTAACTTATTAATGGAAGACAAGGCCCAAGACAGTTAGTCCTAACCAAGTTTATTTATGCCTTCATTAAACATGCCATTGTTTGTCTAACTTTGATGCTATGATGTTCAATGTGGAAGTCAATGGTTACAGGAATTAACATTGAGATTATGCCTCAATCTTACATATGGCACCCAGGCCTAGACAGGAATAGTCACCCTGGAACACAGTCCAGTTTGGTTTACCCCCTGCGTTAAACAACAAACCAACCAACCAACATATGGGCCTGGCCTTTGTCCATTGTAGATGTGTGCTGCTTGTGAATGTGGAAAACATCTCTTGTGCCACAAAAATGATGTTTTCAAATTTAACTTGAAGAGATGGCAGTTCTGTGTCCTTGTTAAGAAGTCCATGGTTATTTAAGATCAATCATATTATCCCTAGATTTGCAACTATCTTGCATAGCAATTTAAAATGAAGCTTTGCCTTCCTGCATATGATTTCTCAAACATTTAGTTGTATTATTTTGGCACAATAGATAGGTTAATGGCCCTTTCACAAAATAATTTTACTGATGCAAATGTTGTAAAATAATTAAATTGAGTCAAAATGGAATTAAGTATTTGAAGTTTGGAAAATAACTCTTGAATTTAAATATTCAAAAAAATCATTCTAAAATATTTCTAAAAATTCTGTGACACACCAGTATGGCAGGAATTTAAAAAGAAATCCGAAAGAAAAATGTAATTTTACACAATTTGTGTATAATCTTGCACCCTTAAGGTCCCAGCTATGTTTATCCATTGCCTGTCTAACTTGTTATGATTCAAACTTTACATTGAGATAACATGTAGAACTGTCAAAAACAGGTGCAATATATGCTCTATCATTTATGTTGCAAGGTGTTCATAAACCATTTTACTTTTTTTTTAATTTTTGAAAATAGTCCATGAGATCTAAATCTAGATGTTAAATCTATACTGTGCGATTTCCAGGGGAAAATTGGAGAAAATCCATAATGACTGAACTTTCACAGCTGTCCTCAGTGATGTGAAAGCTGAACAGGGTCAACTGTGGGAAGAAAATGAAAGATCAAAAAAGATAAAAGATTAGATAAAACAAACTTCTTGAGAAACTGTGGACTGGAATGAAGCTCAAATGCTCAAAGAAATCTGATTTCTTCGAAATTAGAGGAAGAAAGTGACGAAAATTTAGCCACCCATCTTTTGAAAATAAGGTAAATTCAAAGGAAACTAAACTGGAGATAGATCAGGCAGACACGTTAAGTTTTGAAGAGGTTATAGTCTTAACAAAAAGCGGAGTCCTAGACCTCTGATAGTGCAGTTCTCATTCTATAAGGAAAGGGTTCAAGTGAAGACATTGTGACATATTGTGAAATAATAGAAGCTTCAGGGTAAGGGACGACTTTACTGAAGATGTTAGAAACATGAGAGGATAACTTCGTCACTACTAACAAGACAAAGGTGAAGATTGCTACTTATCATATGAAAAACTTAGATAGGAGACCGATTGTATGCTTATGACTGGTCAAATTGGTCAGCGCCAGTATAGTCATACAAGCAAGCGTCACGACAACCTCACCAGAGCAGACGACACACAAGAGTTTGTAGGGAGGTAGCCGAGGCCGGGACGAAGCTGACGGCTCTACTATGTGTCCACAGAACGATTCGGATGACAAAGCGGAGTCATAGCAGTATTTATTAAATATATATGTTCATTTTTACACGTGGACAAAGTGAATGGGAACATTGTGTTTTCTTCAGGACGAGTGATCTGATAAATGCTGTGTTAGTGTTTGTTTATATCCGACCAGAATGCTACACTTACTCTGCAAATCCCGAAGAGCTAGTTATTTGATCACTGCTTTGTCTCTTTTCCTAAGACTCCCTGCTTATTTTACTGACTTGGCACAGCGAAATCATTTGCTCATTTGACTCAAGTTTTTTAATGGATATACCTCTGTGACATCATGCAATGTCCACATCATACAATTTCACTATTACGCAATTCCTTCTATGTGAGGCTCAGAGGTGAGGTGAGGCGAAATGTGGTTTAATACCGAGCGCCTGGCAGGGTAACAAGAACCATCTTTTAACATCTTTTGGTGTGGTGCGGTCGGGAAGCGAACCCCGACCTTCCGCTCTCCGGGCGGACTCTCTACTACTGAAGCGCTAGAACAGTATGTATTACACTGTTAAATGAATACCCAGGTTGTATACTTCATGGGCGACTTTAACTCACCGATCGGAGAGGAGCAGGATTTCGTTATCAATGACTGCAGTAAACGCTTACCTCTTGATGATAACTATTATGTCATCGATACTTTTAGTCAATTTCGAATATCAAAAGGACTGAAAATAATAATAAAAAAATATTATTAGTTAATTGTTTTGCGTCTAAATTTCAATATGCATATTGTAAATGGGGGTACAGGGTAAATTCACTATCATAGCTAGTCAGGGAAGAAGTGTCATAGACTATGCAATTGTCTCATCAAGCGTATTTAGTATGTCAGATGCAATGTTTGACCTACATAACGAAATCGACAACACCTACCCCAGATTGAGGCTCCATGTGCACGATATCGACCAGTTCATTGAACCCAAGCAAGCGTGAAATGTTCCCTCTGTCGTTACAGGAAAGTGGGACAGAAAACATTCACCGAATTACTGCAAGGAGACATTAATGTGCTGGGATTGTTACATGATATGCTTTACAAATCCTTGAATGGTATAACTAGAACTAGATGGAACTTAACCTCGAAAACAACCTCCATGTTTCGATCGAAAGTCTGAGAGAGCAAAGAGAGAAACATGATATACTGAATAAATTCCGAAAATCCAACAACCAGTGTCATCACGAGGATTATGTCTGTACAAAGAGAGAATTGAAGGAACTTTGCAGTTCTAAGAAGATGGATTATGAAAGTAAGGTGATTGGTGAGGTATCTAATGCAGCTAAAGATAACAACTGTCGAAAGTTCTGTGGAAATGACCGCCACACCGACACGACCATAACGCCGACTTTGATGAACACGCAAGGAAGTATTTACATGATCATAATTTTTCTACGTCTGAGAACGTGATAATATATTTGAAAATAATTTTGTTATTTTCAATTTTAAGTTTTGTACATTTACCGTTTACCATAATCGTTTTATGTAAATAGTGGAAGACATGGGTTTTAAACATAGACAAAAAGAGAGTGATGGTTTTCAAAAAATGGTGACAAACTGTCAAAATATGAAGTATGGTTGTCGATGGTAAACAGGCCGCTGTGTCGTATGGTAATTATTTAGCTACACATTTTTTGTTATACTTTGGCAAAGTATTCAGAAAAGGCCCTTTCTGGGGTAAAGCAATTTGTTATACGTTTTCCAGACATGCCTATGCAGACTGCCTTAAACAATCTTTGATTGCAAAATTCAGAGAAACATATTGTAACATCAAAAACCTTTTCCAACCGGAATTATACTTCAACGGCATTAAAACTCCATCATTACGTAGAAGTTTGGCAACGTATAGAGCAGGTTACAATGATCGTGAACTAATTTAGTACAGACGTTCTGAAGAATTAAATTCACTTGATAATTTCTGTGAATAGTGTGGTGAATGTCTTTCAGATGAATATCATTTGTTGTTTATCTTTATACAATATGTGCATTTAAGGTTAAAACATACTAGTATATCACGCTATCATTGTATTTTCACAAATCAACGAAAATTTGTAATTTAAGTACCACAAACGACGAAATATATAGTTGAATTTATCTCTGAATATAGATAAAGTTTTCAAGCTCAGAACCAATGGCGCTCACTGACATTGTGAACGTGTGTTGCACATACAGTGTACTGAAGGCCTTATGGCGCCCTACACGAAT